GGGCGAGGTGGCGGGCGCCTGTAGTCCCAGCTACTTGGGAGGCTGAGGCAGGAGAATGGCATGAACCCAGGAGGCGGAGCTTGCAGTGAGCTGAGATCGCGCCACTGCACTCCAGCCTGGGCGGCAGAGCGAGACTCCGTCTCAAAAAAAAACAAAAACAAAAACCAAAAAAAAAAAAAGAAAAGAACTGTCAAGTCAGAATTCCAGACACAGTGAAAATACGCTTTAGGAAGGAAAGCAAAATAAAGATAATCTATGATGAAAGAAAAGTAAGGGAATTCATAGCCAGTAGAACTGCACTAAAAAAATGCTAAAAAAAATTATCCAGGTCAAAAAAAAAGAAAAACTACACTAAATGCTAAATGTAAACTTGAAACTTAAGGAATGAAGAAGAAAGCAGAAATTGCTAAATGTCTAGATAAATATATTACACTATTATGTATAATTATTGAAATAAAAAAGTATAACATTTTGTGATAGAGTTCTGAACACATGAAGATGTGATACCTAAGACAGCTACAACATGGAATGGGAAGGATATGGCGACCAATTTGGTCATAAAGTCTTCACATTTCACTGGAAATGAAGAACCATCTCTAAGAAGACTAACAAGATAATAGGCATATATGCTGTAATCTCCAGAACCACCACACATACATGTACACACCACTGTACAAAGAGATTCGGTTCACAAATAGATAAATTAGGCCAGGTGTGGCAGCTCACGCCTATAATCCCAGCACCTTGGGAGGCCCAGGCAGGCGGATGGCTTGAGGTCTGGAGTTCGAGACCAATCTGTCCAACATGGTGAAACCCCGTTTCTACTAAAAATAGAAAAATTAGCCAGGCATGGTGCACGTGCACATAATGTGTAATGTGGAGGGGAGGGGGGGCATTTTCATTAATAAAAGCACATTGTTTCCTAAGGATGTAACTTAGGAAAAGATCACACCATTAAATAGACAGGATCTGGTGTTTCACTAATTAATATTATAATCTTGTAATAAAAAAGAAAATACAACGTGTAGCACAGTGTCTTTCAAATAGTAGGCACTCAACAAGTATCTATGAAATTATTAATAATTCATGAGTGATTACTGTTTATCATGCTTCAGTAAAAACATCTTTCATACCTCACACATTATTAAAATGCTATTACTGTGTAAGCGTCTTGAAATATTGACCAACAGTCAAGCTGCAAGTAGGTTTCTATTCTAATATGCAACAATATTAAACAGTCTACACATTACCAAAGTCTAGAATCTCTACATTTATAGACTGATAAACATTTATAGACTGTCAAAATACAAATACATACGTGTCTGTCCTCGGCCCCACAAGCCGCGAATCGCCCACAAGGACTGAAAGCAATTCCACATGGATAGCCGCGGGATGGATGCCCTTCAAAGTGGCGCTCACACCTACGGGGAGGAAAGAAACACCAGGAGAAAAATCATTTTTAAATTTGAATGCAAATTAGAGGAAAGAAAACAACTTGTTGCTTTTCTTCACAAAAAGAACAAATGAATAATGGAAGAATATTTTATACGTAAGAATTATTAAATGGTTAATGGGTCTCTCTCGAGATATTTAAAAATAACTCAAACACTATTCAAAATCTTAAATTCCCAAAGATGACAAAACTAATAGTAAATAAGCTTTTATCTATGATAAATATTAAATGTAAACATATTCTGGAAATTTTTAAAATATCAAAACAAACCTAACAAATCTTCTAAAATAATAAATTATTTAGTTAAATTATTCAGAGACGTTTTGGAGGCAAAACATTCTATGAAGGGTGGTTAAGTTTCACAACTATTTAAAAAGTACCATATAAAATTTGTTTATTGTGAAAAATGCCAAGGAATTCTTGTTAATTTTATGGACAGAATCTCCAGCACCTTTCGGAGATTACCAGCGCCTTCTTAAGAAGACTCCGCAAGCGCTGAGCAGCACTGGGCTGGGGACCACAAAGATGCCTGACAGGGTCCCTGCTCCAGGTGCCCTGAGTGGTGGCAAAGTCACACAGCACACAGGTAACATTACCAATACAAAATACAAATACCATACTATACGATACAATACAACACAAATACAATACAAACACAAATGCAAATACAAAATACAAATACAATACAAATACAAAATACAAACACAATACAGTACTAACAAAGTACAAATACAATACAAATGCAAATAAAAATACAAATACAAAATACAAACACAAAATATAAATAAAAAAGATGTGCTTTTGTATTTGTTCTAGTGATTAAAGTGATGAAAGAGCACAGCAAAGACACTCTGCTAACTGTATCCTTGTGCACAGTGTAAGTGCATGCACATACACATAAAAATCCGTATCAGCTTGTTATATTGTTACGTACATTATATATGCAGTGATCATAATTACCAGGACATATATAGTTTTTTGCTTAAACAGGGTTTTATTTATATATAAATTACCTTTCATATAAATATATAAAATTAATAGCATATATGTGACAAACAATCTGTAAATTAAGCTTACGGCTGTTGATAACAATGTAACTGCCTAAACTATCTCGCTTTGGAATGCTGGAAGCCTGCTCACATAAAGCTACCTTTACATATCTAGTTATGGCTTTTACTGATATAAAATTTGCTGTAAAATAAAATAGGACTGGCAGAAATAGTAATCAATTAGTTCTATAGAAGCAATTTCATAACAATTTCACTTTTTACAATAAATATATATCTTTTTATTCCCTTAAAAAAGTAATTTCCGTTGACTACCTACTAGGAATATACTTATTGGACACTTTATATTTACAGGAATGATTTATATTTTCAAAACAATCTTAGGAAAATAAATTAAGATAGCTTAGCTAAATATTTTTTTATTAACTTGTTTTCCATACAACGCCTGCAGTTCTGTATGTCACAGTAGAGGCTTAACCTAAGTCTCCTGGATCTTAAAAGGCTTCTGTCCAAATTCTCTGACGATTACAAATATTTAAATATTAATTATCCAAATGTCAATGAAAAGCAGCCCTGTGCAGTAAAGCAGTGTCCACTTCATTGTAAGACATAGCAATGGAGCTGAACAACCGCAGAGCCGTCTCCGGGCAGGGCTAACCGGGCTCCTCCGCGGCAGCAGTTCAGCTGAAAACACATCCGCCCAACCACATCTATCATCTAGAATCACGCTGGATGCAGTCACTGCCTTAAAACACTCACCTGAAGAACAAAGCTATTTAAGCGTGAAACAGTTGTACACAATTGTGATAAAAATGCCATGCCTGACTATGTCATATCTTAATTTGCTGATTTTGTGTGTCAAGTTCAGTATTTTATTTATTGACTACCTATCATGTCCTATGTAGTATAAATTCTACAAAGAGAATTATTTTATTTATTTATTTATTTATTTATTTATTTATTTATTTATGATGGAGTCTCACTCTGTCACCCAGGCTGGAGTGCAGTGGCATGATCTAGGCTCATGTGACCTCTGCCTCCCAGGTTCAAGCAATTCTCCTGCCTCGGCCTCCTGAGTAGCTGGGATTACAGGCATTCACCACCACACCTGGCTAATTTTTTTATTTTTAGTAGAGACGTGGTTTCACCATGTTGACCAAGCTGGTCTCGAACTTCTGTGCTGGGATTACAGGTTTGAGCCTACCACACCTAGCAAAGATAATTCCTTTTTTTTTTGTTTTGAGACAGAGTCTTGCTCTGTCACCCAGGCTGGAGTGCATTGCCACAATGGCCAAGATAATTGTCTAGAAAAATTCTGTAGATGGTAATATAGGCTGTAGAAAATAACCTGAACTGTATTGTGCTACTGAGAAAAGACTAAATCTTTGTAAAAATGTCATAAACATCTGTCACAATATTTGTCATACATTTAATTCCTTTTTTCTTTTACATTAATTTTTAAATTTTCACATTCTTCTTTTACTATTAAAAAAAAAAAGAGAAAAATCATCAAAGTACTCATAATCCTTCCATTCAGTAACAACCCCAGAAAGTACTGTGGCACATGTACCGCACATTTTCTCTGCATATGCAAATGGCTTTGTTTTCCTTTAACAAAGTAGAGATGCATACTATGCAGCTTTATATCCTGCTGTGTCTACCCCAGAATACAACATGAACATTTCCCTCATGAACATGTGTTTCTTGTCTAATGAGCTCAGCGAAGAGGCCATAGAGAGCACTGGCCAAGAGCAGGTGACCCAGGGCCAAGTTCAACCCTGACCCCAGCTAAGCCCCTTCTCACCAAATGAGCAACTTTGGTGAGCTGCTCACCTCTGTGCTGCATTTTCCCCATTCACGAAATGGGCCTAAATGAGTTCATAAAGTAAATTTCTTCTTACAGCACAGGGCACATTAATAAGTGCTCTAGAAGTGTAATTGAACTGGGTTCAGGAGAAATTTAAAAATTTTTGAAATGAATGAAGGTGGTAATACAACATAGTAAAGCCTGTATGATACAGTAAAAGTAGTGTTAAGAGGAACATTTATACCATTGAATGCCTATACCAAAAAACTAGAAAGATCACAAATTAACGACCTAATGTTGCACCTCAAGGAACAAGAAAAGCATGACCAAACCAAATCCAAAGTTAGCAACAGAAAAGAAATTTAAAAGATCAGAGCAGAACTCAATGAAATAGAGACCAACAAAACAATTTAAAAGATCAACAAAATGAAAAGTCAGTTATTTGAGAAGATAAACAAAATTGATAAACCACTTGTAGACTAACCAAGAAAAGATGAAATCTAAATAAACAAAATTAGAAATGAAAAACAGACATTACAACCAATACCACAGGAATGCAAAATATCATCAGAGACTATTATGAAAAACTACACACTCACAAAATAGAAAACCTACAGAAAATGGATAAGTTCCTGGAAATACACAACTTCCCAAAGTTGAAGCAGGAAGAAATAGAACACCTGACCAGACCAATAATGAGTAGAAAGACTGAATCAGGGGGAAAAAAAAAAAAAAAAAAAGTTTCCCAACAAAGAAAAGCCCAGGACCAGATGAATTCATAGGCAAATTCCACCAAACATATAAAGAAGAACCAATATCAATCCTGAAACTGTTCCAAAATGTCAAGAAGGGAATTCTCCCTAATTCATTCTATGAGGCCAATATCACTCTGACACCAAAACCAGACAAGGACAAAACAAAGAAATAAAACTATAGTCCAAGATCCCCGATGAACATAAAAACAATTTTCAACAAAATATTACCAAACAGAATCCAATAGCACATCAAGAAGATAATACACCATGACCAACTGGGTTTTATACCAGGATGCAAGGATGGTTCAACATACAAAAATAAATAAATGTGATGTATCACATAAACGGAATCATGGACAAAAAACACAGGATCATTTCAATAAATGCAAAAAAAAGCACTTGATAAAATTCAGCATCTCTTCATGATAAAAATCCTCAATGAAAACTAAGCATTGAAGGAATATACATAAAAATAATAAGGGCCATATATAACAATCCAATAGCCACGGTCATACTGAATAGGGGAAAGTTGAAAGTCTGTCCTCTAAGAACTGGAACAAGACAAGGATGCCCACTGTCACCATTTCTATTCAATATAGTCCTAGAAGTCCTAGCCAGAGCCATTAGGCAAAAAAAAAAAAAGTTAAAAAGTTGTTTTTTTTTTTTTTAAAAAGAAGCATCCAAATTGGTAAAGAGGACATCAAATTATCCCTGTTGACTGACAGTATAATCTTATATCTAGAAAAACCTAAAGACTCCACCAAAAACACTCTTAGATTTGATAAATAAATTCAGTAAAATTTCAGGATACGAAATCAATGTGTAAAAATCAGTAGCATTTCTATACATCAATAATGATTTAGCTGAGAACCAGACATCAGTCCTATTTACAATAGCTACAAAAACAATGAAATACCTAGGAATATAATTAACCAAGGAGGTAAAAGATCTCTATAGGGAAAACGATAAAACATCAATGAAAGAAACTACAGATAACACAAACAAAGAGAAAAATGTCCTACGCTCATGGATCAGAAGAATTAATATGATTAAAATTACCATACTGCCCAAAGCAATCTATAGATACAATGCAATGCCTTTCAAAATACCAATGTTGTTTTTCACAACATTATATATATTAAAAAAAAAAAAAAAAAACCCTAAACTTCATAAGGAACCAAAAAAAGAGCCCAAATGGACAAAGTAATCCTAAATAAAAAGAACAAAGCTGAAGACACCACATTCCCTGACTTCAAATTATACTACAAGGTTATAGTAACCAAAACAACATGGTACTGGTATAAAAATAGACATACAAACCAATGGAACAGAATCCAGAACTCAGAAATAAAACTACGTATTTATAGTCAACTGATCTTTGAAAATTGACAAAATCAAC